AAAAGTTCACGTACCTGAGAGAAAGCACAACCCGTCTCTATTGCAAACATCAAATGGTTAATGTTACCGGAAGTTACAATAAGATTACCTTTTACAGAAAATACAGGAATTAGATTCTTCTTAACTAGTTTATATAGGTTTAGGTAATTATCTGTTTTTGTGAATTAATTCTTTTAACCTGCTATATTTAATATCTTCGTTCGAGGTGCATACATATTTTGAAAAATTAAAACACAATTCTTTTAACCTGCTATATTTAATATTTTCGTTCGAGGTGCAGACATATTTTGAAAAATTAAAACATAGCTTTAAATTTCTGGACGTATCCGGTCTTATTACATTGCATTCCCTATTTCCGAATGTAATTTGTAGGTTTCATTTGTCTCTCACGTAATGCTAACAAAACTGTGACTTTTATAACACATTTTCCATAAACGATATTCTGATAATTGAATTGTGGCATCGATTTTTTGCCTGTAATAAAAGCGCCTAATGAAACAAATAGGTTAACGTTCTATATGGAGGAAATTCCACAACAGAAAACCTGGGTTGAGTCAGAGTTCCGGATTGTAAGTTCTGATTTGTTTGCTATGTTGCCAGGAATGATTAGTGTGGTTGGGCCAACTTTAAAATCATTATCCAATTAACTACATCCAGAAACCTTGCTGGATTGTAACGGATACGCTCCCGCTAACAATGTACAATTGGATAAAATCTCTTACGCTGCTGATTTTCAGATGTTTTTATCGTAATTGCAGTAATTTTCTTCAATTATTTTTGTTTTAGTTTTGTACATATACAGTTGTACAATTAAATACGCATTTAATGTTAAAATGAAATTTATTCGGTGAGGGATTTCACTGCGTTTCATTGATTATTCACATTGAAATTGCTGATCAATTATTTAGTCAACGAACGTTTTTAAAAGCATTAATTTGTTTTACTTTACGTACTTAAACTGTAATGTGTTGGTTATAAAATCATTTTGCATAGCTTAACGTTAACTTTCACATTAGCAAACTACGATATACAATTTGGAAGTGTACCAAAACACATTACTGACTTGCAGTTCTATGTACGTAGATACTCTACAGCCAACTTATCAGCCGCATGAAGTACATACAGTTGTTATTTGATTCGCTAAGTAGTTTAAGATAATCTGTTTCATGCATCACTTCCGTTCAGAGGTATACAGTTATCATTGGTATCCAGATAGGAGATAAGAGATTTGCACATTCCTGGGCCCTGGTATCACACATAATGTTCGGATCTGTGCATTTTTCTGACCTGGTTCAAATTATTGCACTCATACGTCATATAAATAACATATTTGAAGATAAAATTCGGGCTCTGGTTAAATGATTTCCGGGGCGGGGTGGGTGAAATTCTAAAATTTCGTCCCATGCTGACGTCTGATTCAGATGGACCACGCAAGAATAATAAAGTGTTACTCGCAGAATTCTGAGATAAAAAGTTTTCACAAGAGGGACATTCGTGAATTCGGGATCAACCCAACACGAGATATCTGCCGTCATAACATAGCACAGTAGAATCGACAAACGTGTATGTCATGTGCATTGTTCGAACTCTTTACCCCAGCTTGGGCCTTCGCTAGGCTGAAGACCGCAGTGTGAAAATTTTGCTGGAGAGAAAGTAGTAACAGGGAATGGAGGTAACTAACTACATAATGAGGAGCTTTGTAAATTGTACTCTTCAGCAAATAGACGAGGCCAGCGGTCGGAAACCTCTTCATTAACGCGGACCGCATTGACTGTTCATATCTAGTACCGCTGAAGAAATAAATAATGTCATGGACAGCGAACTCTATTTAACTTTAAGAGTACAGCTGGCATCCACTAGAAAACGGATAATAGTTATTTTTCTGCACTCAACTCAGTCTGTTCTAAAGTCGTTCTTTGTAGCATTCAAAGCAGTTTTGTTTTCAAGACGTTGCTGATATTATTAAACTTCATTTATTAACAGGACAATAATTTTAATATATTTTCGTTGCATGTCACGTCTTGAACAATGGAACGGTGTACCTTTTCACAGTGACGCGATTGTACGTTTTTTCCCTTCATCTTCAAAATTTTTGTTTCATTAATTTATTCTGCGATTAATTACCCTTATGCTTCAATAATGGCCATGCTGTATATTTGTATATTTGACCAGACGTTCAAATAAACGAGGATTGGGCGAGTCAGGAAACATTGAAGCGTTGCGTACTCAAAATTTCAGTCGGAAAAGGTGAAGGGAAATTATATTTTGTATAAATAGGGGGTAAATGGGGAAAATAGTATTAATAAGGGTCTTGATATGAGAACGCAGAGTGGATTCAGTGTAGGGCCCAGTGGCGTTAACGAACTTTCAGGCTTGAGAAAATGCAGGTAATTTTTATGCGAGCGAATATGGGCTTCTCAAAGAGGACTGACTTTTCTGTGTAGTTACTTAGATCTTATCTTGTAATTTTATGTCTTCAAATAGATTATTTCAACGACAGATTCGAGAATGAGAAGAATTCGATGAAGTCATAGCATATCATTTAAAGATAAATATCGTTGCCATATGCTGAGCTGCACCGTGTTGTCGAGGGGAGTAAGTTGGGCAAGAACGTGTCCAACCTATTCCTGTATCTACTCCACCTTTTCCGGGCGCCCTGATGATACGGGCAAGTTCCTCTGATACTTCTGTCAGTATCTACCTGACTACGACTCAACATCCCAGAAGGTAGCCATCAACATAGTCGTCGCCGTTAGAACTTCGTGTCGCCTTATTTAAAGATGGGTCACATCGCCCTCGGAGTTTTAACTAGCATCAAGGAACAAGCGATGAGTGATGGGGTTGTTTTGCTGTGATTATGCTGTGTTGTCACACGTAGGAAGTCAAATAAGTTGTTTGTGAAAAAGTCTGTGGTTGAAGTGGGCAACCGTGTTCCAAGCTTTTTCAGAAACATCCCGTTCTGGGTAATGAAGACCTGAAAAGCCACAGAGACTCTGTATAATTTGCACAAACGTATTTCATTGTTTTGCTATGGTGCACTGTTCACATGATGATTCACAACGGCAGTAAGCCAGTACAAACAAACCCTGCTACGTAACACACATATTTAGCGATAAGCGATATGGATCACAGCGTCACAATAAAAATATTGCTTTTAACGTCTATCATGTGTCATCGCGGGATGATTTGAAAAGCGATATCACTGCCATTCAGGTGTGAAGTGTTAACAATGAAATGCATGTTGTTCCTATAACAAAATCTATTGCTTATCATGTACTACGTGTTGGTTGCTTTGCTGTGAATTCTTTCGGAGGTACACGCGATATTCGCTAGGACTCTACCCCGGTTCAAATTCCGCCTAGAACATGGATGTATGGCTTTGGTTTAAAACCTGTGTTGCGTCGTTCCGCGTAAGTAGAGGCCCTGGCGGTGGACCGATATCCCTTCAAGGGGGCCCTACCAGTGTATGAAAGGACGAATTGCGCTTCTGAAGTTCAGTGTTGAATTATATCATAGGAGAGTTGATTTTATTCTTTGCTTGTGTCGTGTAAGGAAAACCTTGTACCAGTTGGTGATGGGTGAGTCATGCAGTTATGTCGTCAACACGCTGTAGTATGATTTAAAAGCTAATGCACGTGTTTGCAGGAAAAGTTAGTGACTCATTTTCTTTTGTCAGACACGTCACTGTTGCAGTGAAATGCCTGACGCTTTCTTCAGGAATATCTCGGAACATAAATTCACCGAGTTCGTACTGGAGGTGGAAACCATAATCATTCGATTATCCTTATGTTGTTCTTTGGCTGAGTTGTCTGATCCTTTTTATTTGTACATTGTCAAGTGTGTTGTGTCCGTCCTTCCGTATGTCTGTTCCAGTACTGGTATATCCCATAACTTTTAGGTCTAGGCATAACACATTTTCATGATTACACTTGTGATACGACTTAGCTGTCTGCGTTAATCTTTCTTATTACTAATTTTTTTCCTTCGCGATTTTGACAGGGTAAATCTGTACTCCTTCCCCAGTATTGTCAGGGTGATTAAGTCGAGAAGAATGAGATGGGCGGGACATGTAGCGCGCATGGATGGGACGAGAGGTGTGCGCCGGGTATTGGTTGGGAAGCCTGGGGGGAAGAGACCGCTGGGGAGACCTAGACGTAGATGGGAGGATAATGTCAGGCGGGATCTATGGGGGATAGGAGTTGAAGGAAACTGGATTTTGTTGACCCAGGACAGGGTCCGATGGAGGGCTTTGGTTAATTCGGTGATGAACCTTCGGATTCGGTAAGCCATCTAGATAGTTAGTTGTTGAACGTGGGACACATACTGTCCTTCACGTGCTCATAGAAACAACTTAAACTGAAATTTTGTTTTACATTTTACAGTCTTTAAGACTACTGATTGGCTGGCTGGCTCTTGACAGTGTTATGCAAATACCGCTAACATACATCCACTGGTTTTCGGTGTCCCTAGAATTGATCTCTTCGGTTGTCATGGACGCCGGTCGCTCAGGAATTATTTATCAATGCTTTGTTTGGCATCACCAACGGTCCAATAACAGAGCATCGCATTAAAATGCAGCCTAATTACATTTGAATCACTATCATGGAAGTTTTCGCACCATTGACTGGAGCATTAACACCTCCATCTCTGTATTTCGAACCAGTTACGGGGTCATTATGTGATTTGAATGGGAAAATTAATGAAAATCCACCGTCCATAAAACTTTATAATCTTGTACCGGAAGTAGTGATTTGCCGTCGCATAGTTTTGTCAGAGCGGCCGATGCGTTGGGCAGCTGAAAAAACGTTGTATTTTATCAATTCCGTTTAAATATGTGCATTTACAGTGATGAATAGTTTTAGTTCATTATTACACCAAATTATTTCGCCCAATGTTGAGAAGTCATTATCAGTGTTTGAGCATTACAATATAATTCCAGGACATTGTCATTCTTCCGACGTTTCTGTACAGTAGCTAATGACATGTTCTGTTTGTTTCAGGCGCACACGCCACTCCTGTCAGGAGATAACAAACATGTAAGTACTCCACTTTCTTGCATAACCCTTTGATGCCGACATACGACTAAATAATATTAAAGAATTTAGGCCTTACCTCGAAGAAAACACAACATTTACCGTTAAAAAATCAGCTGGTCAATGATGTTTAGGGAAATATTCGCTGTGTTCAGTGATAATCCTACGAAACCCACAAACGCAGAATGAAACGTTATTGGTTGTTGAGGCAAACTCTTGCATGCATATATACGAGGGTGAGTCAAATGAAAACCGTAAAACTGAGATAAAAATTCGAAATATCGCCCCATTGTCCTATAAGTTGGCAGACATGTTACCAGTGCTATAAAGAGTATCCTATAGGTGGCAGTATAATGCAGACAGATCGCCATCACAGTGCCAGTTTGAAGATGGCTGCTCCACTAGTTACATGCACGAAAGAAGAACAACGTTCTGTAATTCGTTTTTTGATCAGTGAAGGTGTGAAACCGATTGAAGTTCATCGACGGATGAAGGTTCAGTATGGTGATGCATGCTTGTCACAGCAGCAAGTGTACGAGTGGAGTAGGAAATTCAGAAATGGTGTGACGTCTGTGGCAGACGCTCCTCGCCCGGGTCAGGCGCACAGAGTTGTGACCCCTGAGTCTATTGCAGCAGTTGAAGCCCTAGTGATGGAGAATCGCCGAGTGTCGGTGGATGAAATAGCCGAAACTCTTGACATGAGTCACGGATCAGCACACCATGTCATTCATGATGTGCTCCAGTTTCACAAAGTGTCTGCAAGGTGTCTGCCACGGCAGCTTACTCCAGAATTGAACCAACGACGTGTTGACGCCTGTGAAGAACTTCTGCGGCGCCTTGAATCAGAAGGTGATGGCTTCCTCTCAAGAATAGTTACTGGCGATGAAACTTGGGTGCACTACCACCAACCGGAAACAAAGAGAACGAGCAAGGAATGGCGTCATTCCTCATCACCAAAACACAAGAAGTTCCGGACGCAGCCATCTGCAGGGAAGATTATGCTGACTCTCTTTTGGGACGAATGAGGCGTACTCTTGGAGCACTACACGCCTCGGGG